CTGAAAATGAATCCAAAAAGTATCGATTTCAATAGTCTGGAAAGAATTAAAAGAAGAGAAGAAGACATACATCCCTTCATATGTGCTATATACAGCACTCTTCAGAAAAGTAAAAGCAGAAGAAATAGAAATAAGAGAAGCCTTAATCAAAGGTATAATTCTAAAAAAGACACAAGACAAACTAACACAGCTCCTAAATACAAAGGCAAGACAGCATTTTATAAAAACAATAACAAAGATAGCATAGAACTTATTTTATGAACAAGTCTGGAGAACACAATATAAAAAAATCAATGAATGAAGAAGAAAGAAGACATAACAGTCAAAATGAAAAAGAAAGAAATAAAAAAAAAGAATTTGAAAAAGAAAAAAAAGTTGAATCAACAAAAAGTTGAAAAAGAAAAAGAACAAGCAAAAGAGTAAAAAAATAAAATTAATGAAGAAATTAGGAAAGCAATATTGGGGCTTGTCGTAAAAGGAAGAAGACCCTTTTATTATAAACTTTAAGTAGTTAAACAAGTAGCTTACTTCTGTTTGAAGTAGTGCAGCAGGTTGCAATTAGATACCCTTTGGATGGCCAGATAATGCTAGACTTAGTTGTTAGGTAAATCTATATAATTGTAAAAGTAATTTCAAGAGTCTTAATAAAGTACTAGCATGACTGCTTAAGAAAAAAAATAAAGAATAAGTTGCAAAAAAACATAAGCTAGAAAAGTCAAGGTATATAAATATAAATATTATTTTACTTATATTTAATTTAGTAGAATATTTATTTTTTTTGTTAAATATTACTATATAAATTAAAAAAAATTACTTAATTTGTATATATTGTATATTATACTCCAATAGCTGTCAATTCTAAATCGACTTATGTTAATTTAAAATTTAAGATTAACATAAAAATAAAATTTTATTTCAAGCTATTATTATGTTGATTTAAAGCTGACAATAGTGATAGTAGTAGTGATACAAATGATTTTACTCAGTAATTAATAATTGCATATAAATTATTTTGGCTACTTTTTTTTTTCTTTCATATTTTTACAATGGAAAATAATAATAGCAAAAAGTTTTTCTTTTTTAAATAAAGTACTTTTAATTTGTTTTTAGAAACTTATAATCAAAGTAGAGATATTTGTTATCAAAAAAAATATTTATAATACAACAAGTATATGATCAAGCTATACATGTTATTTTAAATTCTAAAACAAGCTGTGGAACAACTCAAAATAGGTATTGAATGTGATCAATATTTACAATAAAAAATATTGCAACTAATGAGGATTCAAGTTATTATCTTAATCATAAAAATAAGCTTATTGCTATAAAAGAAAAACTTTATGATATTCTTTATAGTATATACAGAACACAACAGCATGGTGGTCAACAAAAATTATGAAATAAACTTTGAAATCAATATAGCTTTATTTGTCAAGATTTGGTTAAAAAATTTGTTATACAATATAAAACTTGTGAACTACATTATAATTTTTTTCAACATGTTGTAGCAAAACTAATAATTCATACTAAATTTATAACAAGGATTGAGATAATTATAAATTTATAATTTTAATTATTATTATAAATTTTTAATAAATTATTATATTTATAGGTTGATTTAATTTCAATGATAAGTAAATCTGATAATAAATACAGATATATATGCTATACAAAAGATTATTTCTTAAAATTTTGTTGGTCATTACCTTTAATCTTCAAACATGCTAAAGAAGTTGCAATTGTACTTTTTAATATTTTTATTATATTTGACCCTCCTGTTATCTTATATACTGATAATGATAAAGAATTTATAGCAAGTATAATTTGCCAATTAATATCTCTATAGCCAGGTATTCAAATTATTAATAGATGCCCATGGCATTCAGAGTCTTAAAGCTTTATTGAAAAAGCAAATGATAGCTTAAACATAAGTTATCTAAATAGATGAAAGATGAAAAAAGCACAAATTGGATACAGGGACTTCTGTTAGCAACACATGTAATAAATACTAAAATATCTTATATCACAAACATACTCTTTATGAATTAGTGTTTGGTCAAAAACCATGAATGCATATTTCTTTATTAACTACATTTTATTAAGCTAATATAATTAATAAAAAAGAATTATCTGACAAAATAATTCTTGAAGCTAATTATGAAGCTTATAACAATAATAAATTAAATCAAAATAATGAATCTAAACAAATTATTGAATTTGAACAAAGTATTCAATCTAAACAAAACATTGAACACATTATTGAATCTGACCAAAATATTGAGTCTAAACAAAATGTTAAATTATATCAAAATGTTACATTAAATCAAAGTGTTGAATTGAATTAAAGTACTAAACAAAATTATACTATTGAATTAAATGATTAATATATTAAATTAAATCAAACAACTAAATTGAATCAAACAGCTAAATTAAATCAAACTATTAAATTAAATCAATCTATTGAATTAAATCAAAAAGCTGTAAATCATTTATTTTTTTATATTATTATTTAATTTTTTTTATAATAATTACTAATTATATATTTTAAAACAATCAATTAAACTATAACTTAAATGAAAAAAATTATAGTAATACTGCTAATGTTGAAACCAATATAGATCAAAATGTTAAGATAAATAATTATATAACATATTTGTAATATTTAGTAGCAATGATTATATAATTTTATAAACATATATTTAATATAATTATTTAAAGCAAATTACATATTATGAAATACACAATACAATAAAAGATAAAGAGAATGTACTACCAACTTTATATAAGATTTATTGTAACTTAGCAGTTGAATTTATATAAAAAGAAGTGCAAAAAATAAAAAAACAATTAGAAAAGTGAAACAAAAAAAAAAACATTAACAGTCTTTTACAAAAAGGTACTTATATATGAATCTGGGTTCTACCAATTGATCAATCAAGTACAGATTACAAAGCTCTTCCATCCAAGATTGTTAAAGTTATGCCAAATAATCTATATTGACTTGGTTGTACTGCAGAAATAATTAATAAGTGTTATTCAGCAAATGAAATGGAGTTAATAGGATCACAAGAGTTTACTAAACTTGAAAACATATTTAATTCTTTAATTGGTGTTTATAAAACTGCATTTGCTCAATCAGCATTAACTATTGCTAGTATTCATTATAATTGTCATACCAAATGTGATTAAAATTGGTGTAGATATAAAAAAGCTGGTATTGTTTGTAAATTAAATTGTTATCCTAGCAGTAATTAATGTGTAAATTGCAATGAATAGCATTTATATACTAATAGATGATTTAAGTTTACATATAGTTAGTAACTTTATAAAGTTACAAGCAATTGTTTTATATTATAAAAATTAGAATTTAATGCTATATAGCTAGAAATAAGTATTATTTGGATATTATTTTGTATCCAAAAATCAAGTTAACTAAATTTTTTTCTTTTTCAAATATAATTTGAAGTTGATATAAATTTAAATTTAATATACTTATTATGTCAATTTTATATTTATATAAGCAAATTTTAATTATGCATTAACATAATATCAACTCTAAATTTTAAACTAACAAAAGTTAATTTAAAATTCATATAAATTGAACTTTAACATACAAGATATATATTAAAAAATCTTTTCTATTAAAAATAAATAACAAAATATGATTTATTTAAAGGTTTATTAAATTAAATAATAAGACCTATATTTAGTATACAATAATGCAATATTCATTAGTATATTAAAAAAAATCTATAATTTATTGTATTTAGATTTAATTTTTTTTAGTTTTAACTATAAATAAAAAATATAATTATTGCAATTAAATACAATTATTTTATTACTAATTAAGTTTAATTATTTTTTGTGATAATTTTATTAATTATAAATGTTTATATGTCTAATAAAAATTAATTGAAATTAATTTTTCAGTATTTTTGCTTTTAATCAAATATTAATATATATATAATAAAGTATTTTTAAAAATCAAATAAGCAAATAAATATATTTAGAAATAAGCATTCTTTTTGTTATTATTTGCTTTATAAGAGCTAACTTTATAATTTTACTTGTTTCTATTTATCTTGTTATAACTCAGCAATTAGATAATGCCTAGAACTTAGTTTAATTAGTTGAACAATAATAATAAGCAATATTAAGCCTTATAGTTATAATAATAATGCAAGAATCTTGTTTGGTAGTAATTAAGTTTTATAATAATAGTAATAAACAAAAAACTTTATTAGATCTTTATAATTGAATGATAAAAAAAAATCTGTAAATCATTTTATATAATAAGTAAAATAATTTACAGGTTTTCTTTTTTCATTATTCAATTACTATAACAATAAAAAGACTCTGATTTTTTTAAAATTATATGGATTAGTTCTATCTTAAAATTTCAAAAGATGAATTCTTAAAGAAAACATAATATTAACAATGTAGACAGTATTAATTATAATGCTAACCATTTAGTTAATATTGTGTTTTTTTAGAATTTTTTTAAAAAAAAATATAAATCTATATTTAATGACTTATTTTATATACTTTATAAATTATAGATTACTTAAAGGTTTTATTAACATAATATATAAATTTTGATTAATTTAAATAAAAGTATTTTCTTTAAAAATATTATTAAATATAACATTTGTAATAATAACAAATAGTTTTCTATATACTTTTTTGTTATATTTTTATAAAGTTATCATTAAAAATAATAATTGTATTTTTAATAAATTGAATTTTAATAAGATATCAATACTGTTATAGTATTATATTATTAATAAATATAGTATTATTAAAAAATTTCTTAGTATTCAACAATATTAACTTCAGTAATATATTTATTTTTTTAAAAAAAACAAACCTAAAAATTACAAAAATTTGTATATAAATAACAAAGTCTAATTGATACCAATCATCTAACTCTCTTTATAGATTACAAAAACCAACTTTTCACTAACAAACAATTTAACTTTTCTTAATATTTTACTAAATTAACAGCTCTTAAACTTTTTATTAAACCTTTTTTTACAACTTTTTGTCCTAAAAACAATACAAATTTATTTATACTTAATCTTTCAATATAACAAACTTTTACATTTTAATAAAATTATTTTTATTTATATTTCTTTTTAATTTTTTAATTTATACTTAATTAAACTCTTTTACTTCTAAGTAAACAAAGTATACTAAACTTTCTGCTTTCAAATTCTAACTATTGTATTATATACTAACTAACATGTTCTAAAAAATACACTTTTTTAATTTTTATCAAATTTTACTAAATGATCTTATTCTCTCTTATTAAAAAAAATATTCAGTTTATTGATGCAATTATTTTAACATAAATTTATTTTTAACAAACCAAAACTCATTAAGTTATTAATATTTCTCTTCAAACTTTTATTCAAACTCCTTTTTGAAATTCTATTGGTCAATTTCAGAAAATTTACAGGAGTGCCCTGGAAATTTCACTTTTTACCAATCTTGAAAATATCTAAATATACAATATTTCTTCAAATTTTCTTAAAGGAACATAAAAAATTTACTGGCTCTCTGAAAAATTTATTACTAATTTTAAAAAAATCAATTTTCTTAACTAATTCTTATTTTTTTTACCTACTCCTTTTTGTTACCTATATTATAAAACACTCTACCCATACTATAAACTATTTAAAAAACCTTTTCTATATCTCTGTTCTAAGCTATTTACAACTTTAAATATCTTTATATTATTATCACTTATAATTTCAAAATAAATCTATAAACTACAACCCAACAAGATCAACTTTTAGATTAGTTCAAAATTTTTCTATTTCAAAAAACTCATCTTTATCTATATTTATAATATCTGGAATTCAAATATTAGATTTTTTAAAACCATTCCTCAATGATTTCTATCCTGTTTTAATTATTAATTTTACAACAATCTACAAAGCAGTTATAAAAAGTAATTTCAACTTATTAATTTAAGCTATAGTGACCAAAAAACCTAAATTTATTATAGACACAATCCTAAACAAAAATCTACATATTATCAAAGCAATCAAAATACTTTTCAAAATTCTTCTTAGTATAACAAAAAACTGGCTTACTAAATTTACTTATATTTTTTTTTATAAAACAAATTACAAATAACTCTTTAACTCACACTATTTTATTTTTTCTTATTTAATTAAAAAATGATTTTAAATTGCTATAAACCTTGCCAGATTTTATCTATTTCTATATATCAAATACCAAATCATTGATTATCAAAAATTCTTTTATAACTTATAACTTAAACCTATCTATTTAAAAATCTTTATATATATAAACTATATTTCAAATATTTTAAAAAGCAATACTTCTATTTTACAAATTCATAATACCTCTAAATTCCATATCAATATTATTATAAATAACTTTCTCTAAGAATTTAATATAAACTATTATATTTCATCTTTTCATTTAATTAAACCACAATTTGACATCTGGTTTCAAAATTTTTTTACACATTACAAAAAAACAATTTAATAAAATCAATAAACAAAAAGTCTACAACTATATCAAATACCAAATAACAACAAAAACTAATAATGAATACAAAAAGCTAATTTTTCAAAAACCTGAACTACTAACTATCTGATCCATTTAAGACTAAACAAACTATGCTATCAAAATAGTAATACACTATATATATATCTGCACTAATCTGGAAAAATGTAAAATTCTTAATCCAAAAACAACTTATAATATTTACAATCTAACTTCTTACTACTTTAAACAATTCTTTAATACTATATCTATTTAATGCTATATATATCTGTCTTTAAATCTATTTTTTTTTTTTTAAATATTAATGATAAGGCTATGCCTTTAACTTTATTGAAATTCAATTGAAGTTTTTACAAAAAA